GAGATGTGCAGAACAAGGTAGATGGGAAGGGGCCCAGAGCTTCCATACACTCTCCAGGTGTGACCCCCTCTCAGCATCTCCACGTGTTCACCAAACCAGAAGCCCTTCAAACACCTTCTGTTAGCGGATTTTTTGGAGGCTTCATTGCAAAGGTATGATTAAACTCAATCTCCAGTCCTTCTCCCTTACCTGGGCATGGTGTAGTGGGCTGAAAGTCCCAACCTAATTATATACTTGGTTCCCTTGGCAACCAGCCCTCATCTGGAGGCTCTATAGGAGCGCCAGCCACCAGTCATGTCATTAAGCACACAGAAGGACACTTACCATCAAGCATTTTAGGAGCTGTGTACAGGAGCCGAATAAGACCAATTATGAATTTCTTATTATAAATCACAGTATCGTAGTGCCCCAGTAACTTAACTGAACCCCTTCAGAATCTCATCATTAAATGTAAATGTCGCAGATTTAATATGTGTAAGTGATTTCCATTTCTTCAATCTTGAAAATTTTTTTTGTCTTGATACTTTTTCAGGCTTTTTCACATAGGTAGGTTACATCATTTTGTTTTATGTTCTACATGTATATATTGGGGCAGCACTTGTACCTTAGTTTTATTTTTAGATTTTATAATATTTTTATTTTTATATTCCCAGGTTTTTGATTGTCTGTGAACTTACTCTGTCTTCAAAAAAAAGTAGAGTATAATTGAAATCTTAAAACAAAAATTCTCCCATTTTCCAGGGAGAACAAATGATATATACTCAGGATATTTATTCTAGTGTGATAATTTCAAAAATTACTGGTTTTGAAAGTAAAAATTGTTGAACACTGGCAGTTTTGTGTAGTTCACCTCATATATAGCATCATCCTTATATAATAATATGTATGTTATCCAGCCAGAGCTTTTTGGGATACTAAAAGGATGGGACATTATCTTCAGATAATAGGACATTAGAGTTTAATAATTTGGGATTTCAGGAGATACTGGAATTTTTTCCTGGTGTTTCAAGTTCAAAAGTGGAATGAAAATTATTAATTTGATCTTAGTTATTATATGTTATGTATCCTACCAGTGATGTTGGCTATCTTTGGATGTTGATATTGTAGATGTTTACTTTCATTTTTCATATATATAAAAATCTTTATTTTACTTAAAGAGAGACAATGTGAGGGACGGGCAGAGACAGAGGGAGACACAGAATCTGAAGCAGGCTCCGGACTCCTGAGCTGTCAGCACAGAGCCTGATGCGGGGCTCAAACTCACAAACTGTGACATCATGACCTGAGCCAAAGTCGGACACTTAAGTGACTGAGCCACCCAGGCGCCCCTCATCTTTCTTTTAAATGTAACTTAAAAAAAAATTTTTTTTTTAACGTTTATTTATTTTTGAGACAGAGAGAGACAGAGCATGAATGGGGGAGGGTCAGAGAGAGAGGGAGACACAGAATCCGAAACAGGCTCCAGGCTCTGAGTGGTCAGCACAGAGCCCGACACGGGGCTCGAACTCACGGACCGCGAGATCGTGACCTGAGCTGAAGTCGGACGCTTAACCGACTGAGCCACCCAGGCGCCCCTAAATGTAACTTTTTTTAAAATGCTTATTTATTTTTGAGAGAGAGAGAGAAAGAGAGAGAGAGAGACAGAGTACTAAAAGGGCAGGGACAGAGAGAGAGGGAGACACAGAATCTGAAGCAGGCTCCAGGCTCTGAGCTGTCAGCACAGAGACCAATGTGGGAGTCAAAGTAAGGAACCGTGAGATCTGACTTAAGCTGAAGTCAGACGCTTAACTGACTAAGCCACTCAGGTGACCCTAAATTTAATTTTTAAAGCACTCATACTGAAGATCCCTAGCATTTGTTTAAATAAAGATTTGAAGAGTGGAACATTTCAGGGTAATTAATGATAAAGGTTAATTGGTGACCATGGGATGCTTTGTCGAATTAGAGCTTAAGATCACTGGAGTTGAAAATATGCATGAACCAAAAGGCAAAAGACAAGAGGCGTCAGTGATGACAGGAAGTGACTGGGTTGTTTATAGAAGGCTAAGATCCCTAGAGTGATTTGGCTGCTTAGATTGAACCAGACCAGAGTGGTTTGGAGTAGAAGACTGATTATTGGAAATGGGCAGGATATGCAGAAGTGGTAAGACCCCTGTGAAGCATGGGGCGTGTGAGTATTTATCAGTTGATCAGCGTTTATTTGAAAGAATTCCAAGATAGACTTTGTCTTTGGGAGGAGAGCAAGGTTTCAGTTAAGGTGGGAGTATTGAGTGAAAAATTTTAGGGTGGAGAAAAATTTATTACGGTGGATAGAAGAGTTGAAAGCTTTTGACAAATGCTAATTATTTTTTTACACTCACCCCCCACTCCTCCATGGTTTCTGTGGTAGTATGCTGTCTTGTGTTCGGGTTGTGTGGCTGCTGCTTTGCATTTCATGGTAGTTCGTGCAGGGTTGCTCCATCGTCCTTTGCCCATCTCTTAAACATTGCTGTTCTCCCTGCCATGTCATTTTTTCCTCATCTCTGCTGACTATACTGGTTGACATTGGGTGATTTTATTCATTATCATAGCTTCAGATTTATTATTCTCCTTTATCATAGCTTTTAGATCTTTCTCTTTCCTCCCTGCTTTCCCTAGCAGAATTCTGTTAGTCCTTCAAGGTTCAGCCTTTCATTTGATTTCAGATCTAATTTCACTTATCCAGTTGCCTCTCCCCTGTTCCCCAGTTTTCCATCTAGGTTAGGAGCAACCTTCTCTTACATTCTGTGTGCATACCATCATCATCATGTTTACTATGCTATTTCAACTGTTGGCTTACCTGTTTATTTCTCCCCTGGACTGAGTTCCATGAGGGCAAGGGCTATAGTTTTCTAAATCCTGTTCTTCCCAGTGTTTATTAGCAGTAAGTTATCAATTATATTACCCATTATGTATGTATTGCCACAGAAGAGAAGGTACTAATGTTAATAAAACCTTGAAAGTCTGCTTACCCTTACCAGTCATTAAAGAAATAAAAGGTTAAATAATGAGGTACTGTTTTCAAGAAATAGTATAGCTTAATGGTTTAACAGCATGAATTCTGGAGCAAGAGGGCTGCTGTGATTTGAACACCAGTTCTGCCACTTATGTTCTGAGTGGTCTCGGGCAAGTCATTTAGCTTTTCTGTGCTTTTCATTTTCCTAATGTGCAGTAGAACCTGTTTCACATCTTGTGATAAGTAGAAGTATTCATTTTTGTTATTTTACATTTTACAACTTTTTTTTTTAAATTTTTAAAAAGAAATTTTTTTTTTTTAACGTTTATTTATTTTTTTGGGACAGAGAGAGACAGAGCATGAACGGGGGAGGGGCAGAGAGAGAGGGAGACACAGAATTGGAAACAGGCTCCAGGCTCTGAGCCATCAGCCCAGAGCCTGACGCGGGGCTTGAACTCACGGACCGCGAGATCGTGACCTGGCTGAAGTCGGCCGCTTAACCGACTGCGCCACCCAGGCGCCCCTAAATTTTTTTTTAATGTTTATTTATTTTTGAGGCAGAGAGAGGCAGAGCATGAATGGGGGAGGGGCAGAGAGAGGGAGACACAGAATCGGAAGCAGGCTCCAGGTTCTGAGCCATCAGCCCAGAGCCTGATGCGGGGCTCGAACTCACAAACCGTGAGATCGTGACCTGAGCTGAAGTCGGACGCTCAACCGACTGAGCCACCCTGGCGCCCCTGTTATTTTACATTTTAAAAATTGGTTCTGTTTATTTGGTTTAGATTAAGATAGTCGCTTATATATACTGGTGGTAGAAATTTAAATTTGTGTAGTGTTTCTGGAAAGCAGTTTAACATAATGAAGCCTTCCTAACTATTTTGTTTTTTGATTAACTTCATTTTAATAATATTTTTTTTTAAAAAATCTTTCTTTTTTTAAAAAAAGTATTTATTTATTTATTTGAGAGAGAGAGCAAGAAATGGAAGGGCAGAGAGACGGGAACAGGGGATCTGAAGTGGGCTCTGTGCTGGCAGCAGTGAGCCCGATGTGGGGCTCAAACTCATAGACTGTGAGATCATGACCTGAGCCAAAGTCAGATGCTCAACCCAATGAACCACCCAGGCCCCCCTAATAATCTTTTAATAAAAGTTTAAGTGCAGGCTCATGTTCCAGAATCACTCAGGCAAATAGCATAAATCTCTAGTAAGATGAGAATGGTTAAATATATTGTTGAATGTGATTTAGCAGTTAAAATGTTTGCATTTTAATGGCATGGGAAAAGGTTATGATGCAGTGGGTAAGATATCAAAGATTAAACATTACTGTAAACATGTTTTAAAAAAAATGCTTAAGGGACGCCTGGGTGTCTCAGTTGGTTAAGAGTCCAAGTTTGGCTCAGATCATGATCTCATGGTTTGTGAGTTCAGGCTTGCATCAGGCTCTGCACCGACAGTGTGGAGCCTGCTTGGGATTCTCTCTCTATCCCTCTGTCTCTGCCCCCCCCCCCCCATAAATAAACTTAAAAAAGAAGATAAAAAATACTTTAAAAATTAAAAGACATGCTTAAGAGGGAAGGAAATGTTAAGATGCTAACTTGTGATTGCTTTTGGGTGGTGGGATTTAACCTCTATGAAACTAATTTCTGTTTTTAAAATGGGGTTAACAACAGACATGTTGACATAAACTGCTAACAAATGAGGTAATTGGAAAGTATTTGGATGTTTTATATTTTTATTAAGTCACATTGTCATTTTTGTTCATTTGTATCTTAATAAAGTCTATATAAAGTCAATCCATGTTGCATTAAAGAAGTACAGAATTGTTTTTTCTTAATTATTAAGTCTCTACATTTACTTTTTAACATGGAACTTTCAGCTCTTTTTGTCTGCAATTTTTCATCCCTGCAATCCCTATTAGTGCTCAGTTTTCTAGGAATTATTTTCCAAATGTGAAGTTATTTTATGATCGTGGTGATGCCAGTGTGGTTTGGTTTAGGCTTTTTTCCCCCTCTCTCTTTTGTCTGCAGCAACTGGAACAGATCCAGAAGGAGCTGAGTGTTTTGGAAGAGGATATTAAAAGAGTGGAAGTAAGAGATCAAGAATTTCTCACATCTCTAGCAATTTTCAGTTTCATGAAATTGTCCCTTTTCCTTTAAATTACTGCATTGAATTTATGGGATTTGTTTTCATTATATCGAAAGTAACAGATGTTACTTATTTTTAATTCAGAGTGCATTTTTATAGAAAAAGCATTCTGAACACTATGATAAAATGTGTTCTAAATTTGTTTTCACTGTTTTATTGCCATAATTATTCTTGGGTAGATTGAAAAAAAATAATTTTCTTGGTATGCTATCATAGTAACTTAAATTAACTCCCACAAAACCCTTGGTTATTATTAAATGATGTCACAATTTTCTTCTTTTATTAAGTAAATAATTCTTTATGTATCTACCGTGCTAAGGTTAATTTACAAAGAGTTAGGAGAACACAGGGACAATAGTTAGGCATTTATAGTATAATACAGTTTACTTATGGAAATCCATCAGAGGACCTTTTGGAGGGTCATAGGCTATTATGTGACGTTATTTTCTGCAGCTACATTTACATTTAGTGTATGTTTTAAATTGTTCACATGTGTTGTAATTTTCTTTTGCTCATATGTAGAACATGTGAAATGATCTTGAGTTTAATATTTTGTGGAAATTCGGTTTCCCACGTGACATTCCTAACTTGTTACTCCTATATTTATGTCCCTTGCTTGGCTGCATGATTGAACTGAGCTTGGATTACACAGAAGTAATTCTGTCAGATTATGTATCTTTAGTGGCATTTTGAAATTTGCTGCTTTTTCATTAATCAAAAGAGCACGTAATAAAAGGCCTGGTTGTTGGTATGAGTTAGAGGTACATAACTTATGCAATAATAGTTAATTAGGAGTCTTCTTCCTCTGAGTTTATGAGTTACAATTTAAGTCATTATTTTCAAAAGCTAGTATTTGAGTCAAGAGGACAGTTACTTTTCTTAATATTTGCAGGGATATTTTTAAAGTAGGCACATCCTATTTTTCTCTACTCAGAGAGCTGAACCTAATGATCCAGTTACCGTACTGTTATGTGTATCTTAATATTAATCAGTAGATTCTCACTTGGATTAATGATTAGCTTGTTCACTGTTCACATCGTATACTGTACATCTCATCTGAAATATTTACGTTTGACCATTTCTACATTTGGTGACTTAATTCGGCATGAACAATATTTATTAAAGACTTTCTAGTTCTTTAAGAATGTGTACCATAGAAAGGCTATCTCTTAACTTTTTAAATATTCTTACTTTTGTACTCTGAGGAGAGGAAGCTTTGAGAAATTTGGATGTTGAGACAAAATGGACTAATAAAACCTGGGATTGGAAAGGAATATGATATATCTCATTTTGATTTACACTTCTTTTGTTTGGAGTGTCTCCTATAACTCAGATAATTGTGCTTTCAGGAAATGAGCGGCTTGTACTCTCCTGTCAGTGAGGATAGCACAGTGCCTCAATTTGAAGCTCCTTCTCCATCACACAGGTACAAAGCTTCAAACTTGTAATTACTTAGGATTTATGTTGCAAAATGCACATATGGTAGTAGTCCTTGGAAGCCTTTTCTGTGTAATGTACAAAACCCCTGAGAAATTACTTTTGGTCACGATGTAGAAATGAGATTCAGATGGCCCATCTGTTTCTTTAATGCTTTGAATTTTCATGCCGTGAATAGTTAGTAGAATAAAGTAATATTATGAATTCACTGTTGGATTAAAAGTTTGGTGAATTTCTTGAAATAATAGTAGCTTTAAACATCTTGTAAATTAAAATCAGATGACCTTAAAAATCTATAATTGAAATGGTAGGTAATATTAGAGAAAAAGTTGTAAAGTAAAACCTTGGGCTTTTCCCCTGACCTGTTGAATTTTCTTGGGCACATCACTTTCCCCAGATTGAAAATGAAGGCATTAAATCTGTTATTTAGATCTCCCTGGTATTTTCTTCATAACACTGCATTGTTAATTTGTCTTTTCTTCTATATGCTGTATGAGACCAGGGATTGTATTGGTTTTGCTTGTGATGGTTTCCCTAGGTTATAGAGTAGCAGTAGTGACTGACCTTATTCAGTAAGTATTTGTGAAATATAGTAAATGTCACTGGTTCCTTCTAGCTCTAAAGTTCTAGTGGATGAAATATGTACTACCTGAAATTTGAATTTGAACTTTTTTGCTTGAATTGTTCAAAGGAAGAGTAATTTTACATGTTTTTAACTTGCCAGTCCATGTAGGATAATGGTCCAGTGGAAGCTTTTCAGACAGATAGTTACAGGATAACACGTGGGTTATCAGGCTGTTCAGTGCCAGTATGAGAGATTACACTACCCTTCAAAACCTCTGTCAGTTCAGGAAAACTCTATATCTGATTTGGTATGATAGGCAGGGGAAAGGGGCACAAGGAATGTTCTAATGAACGAAGGTTCCTGGGATATTTGATATTTTCCTCATTAACCATTTGTGGAGAATCCTTGTGAGTTCAAGTTGATTCTGGAGTCACTTTAGCTGTGTTATTCAACTGTTTTTCCTTTATATTTTATTTTCTTTAAAACACTTGGGAATGACTCATTCTGTGGGATATTGTTATCATTAAGTTTAATGTTCACTTTCTGAAATATATGGGATCTTTGTCAACGGAATATTACATGAGTGTATGCAGGTAAGCAAAAATTGTCATCTCACAAAATATTCACTAATAAATTGACAATTCCCATTGTCCTCTCTTGTTTAATAGTAGCGTTTCTTTTTATTGTGTCCATGTCTTTATTATTCAGTTTCTTACAGATGGGTTTTATTAACATGTGACAGTATAATATTACATTCATTTAATGGGCTCTCTTTATTGAATGCCTCCAATACGCTGGGCACCGTTCTAGCTGTTGGGAGTATGGTTGACAGACTCCCTGCCCTTTATTGGAGTTTACCTTTTGGTAGGTGTCTGTGTGAGATTGGGAGAGATACCAAACAAGCAAATTCATGATGTAGTAGTAGTACAAAGCATATAAGTAGTACCTTAGGAAGGAAAACTAGGCACATTATGGGTTGGCAACAGGATTCTATGTCAGTTTGTATAGTCTGGCTTCTCCGGGGAGGCAGTATTTAAGCTGACACATGAATGAGGTGTAAATATGATAGAAAGTCATGAGAGAGTTTTGAGCAGGAACTGATTTAGATTTTAAAATTTTTACTGGGGTACCCATGTGGAGGATGGAGGAGAGACTGTATCGGCCCTGCCATTGGAATTGTGGTAGAAAGTTAGGAAGCAAATAATAGTCTAGAAGAGAGGAGGTGGTGCCTTGGATTAGGATTTATTTTTTTGGATTATTTTAGTGGATGAAGAGATGAGAAGTGGTTGTATTATAAAATAAACTAGCAGATCTTATGAAAGATACAGGGTTTCGTGAAGTCTGTGAAAACTTTGTTGGAGAACTACTAAAATCCTATGCATTATGCAAAGTTATTGTCAAATGAGGTTCTGGCAGAGTTAACCTGCTTAACAGTTGAAGAAGGGAAACAGATGTAAACGTAATATTTTCTTCAAAAGAGTGTTTTGGTATTTTCTTACAAGTAATTTGAATATTAAGGTTTGAAAGAGGCATTTGGGAAAAATGATGTAGCCCTTAACTACTCTTGGGAAATGATCTTTAAGATTAAGATGGGAAATTAAACATGATGGAAAGAATGTTATGTTATACTGTCAACATTTGAATTTTTTTTTTATTTTTAGGAAATAGCATGTAGTTCCAATTATTATAACTTTCTTCCCCCATAATTATTAGGTGCATTGAGTTTTTTTTAATGTTCATTTTTGAGAGAGAGAGAGAGAGAGAGAGACACACACACACACACACACACACACACACTCTCTCTCTCTCTCTCTCTCTCTCTCTCTCTCTCTCTGAAGCAGGCTCCAGGCTCTGAGCTGTCAGCCTGGAGCCCGACGTGGGCTTGAACTTGAGAACAGTGAGATCATGACCTAGGCCAAAGTTGGATGCCCAACCAACTGAGCCACCCAGGCACCCCATATTAGCTTTATTATTTAAATGCCAGTTTTTGTTTTATTCCTCACTGTAATGTGTTTGGTTTCTTTTAAAGCAGGTTTGCCTTAAAAGCCGTTTTGTAGATTCATTTATTTTCTTCTTCTATTTCTTTTTTGTTTTAAATTTTTTTAATGTTTATTTATTTTTGAGAAACAGAGAGAAATAGAGCATGAGTGGGGGGAGGAGCAGAGAGAGGAGACACAGAATCTGAGGCAGTCTCCAGGCTCTGAGCTGTCAGTACAAAGCCTGTTGCGGGGCTCAAACTCATGAACTGTGAGATCATGACCTAAGCTGAAGTCAGATGCTTAACTGAGTGAGCCACCCAGGTGCTCCTCATTTATTTTCTTCTGTAATGAGTACCTCTTTATGTGTTGGGTCATTGAATCCCCTGTATAGATTCTAAGTTAATGATTAGCTAATGTAGTTAAAATGAAAGGAAAAATAAAAGACATACAAGAGTATTCTCCAGCCCCACTTCCCCCAGGATTTTATCTTTTATATACCATGATTAGCTGTAATTTTCATATCCTATGTATTCTCTTTCTGCTGCTTTGTTTAGACCCTCAATATCACATGGAGTCTAGTAGTGGTCTTCTAACTATCCTCCTCCAGAGTATTGCCAGAAATCTGGTCGTGTTTCTTTCCTACTTAAAATCCTTCAGTGGCTTTCCACTGCATGTAAGTTGGTTTAGATCCAACTCTTTTGCATGGACATCCATAATTTGTGTGTGTGTGTGCGTGTGTGTGTGATTTAAGAATCGAATTTAAGTCCCCAAACAAGATGTTAAAATACCTTTGCTTATACCTGTTCCTTTTGCCTAGAAACTTCGGGTTCCTCTCTTAAATAGCTCCTCTTTTCCAACCCCTCCTCCCCAAGAATCCAACCAAGGGTGAACTCTTTCTTTTCTTTTTTGATATACTATTTCCCTAAAGACTGACAGGGAAGAAAGGAAGGAAGAAATAGAATTAACCACTTCAGAAAAACCCATTTCTGCTTACTTTATTCTTGCTTCTGTGCTATGTGTACTAGTTTTTCTGTTTCCCATGCTGTGTTGTAATTTTGTGATTATTGAGTTTTTCTTATACTTATTTATTTTTATATGAGCATTTATACATAATAGGATGTAAACTATGTTTTTGAATAAATATGTATTTAACCTAGGATGTTATTTAATTTTCATTAGTTTGTGAGATTTTGATAGAAGCATGAGGTTTAGTATACTTAATAAGTAAACTAACAGGGGCGCCTGGGTGGCTCAGTCGGTTAAGCGTCCGACTTCGGCTCAGGTCATGATCTCGTGGTCCGTGAGTTCAAGCCCCGCGTCAGGCTCTGTGCTGACTGCTCAGAGCTTGGAGCCTGTTTCAGATTCTGTGTTTCCCTCTTTCCCTGACCCTCCCCCGTTCATGCTCTGTCTCTCTCTGTCTCAAAAATAAATAAACGTTAAAAAAAAAATTAAAAAAAAAAATAAGTAAACTAACATAATCTTCAAAAAAAACCCCCAAAGCTATCAGCCAAGCTTCATTAGGGTGGGTTTAGGGAGGGGGGTGAGTGTGTGATCTTTCTTTGATAAATCAGGTATGGTTTTTAAAAAAATAGTTTTAAGCCTTCATCCATTACAAATTTCTCTTACTAGAATTAGTTTAAGCTTAAGATTGCTGTTCTCAGGGCCTTTTCAATTCTGCTTTAGATTGTGAGGAAGAAAGTCTCCACAGTTCCCAGTGAACTATAGTTTACACTTATTGTTACATATCTGTGTGTGTCAAATTATGAGTGAACTAGAGAATGATAGGCAAGCGCAGTCTCTCTTACCTGTTGCCAAATGGGTTGGTCCTTTTATCTGATAGTATCATTGTGAGTGAATATATCTTAATCCATTTTTATAGAGGATTATTAATATATGAGGCATTTTTAACTTTTTAGCTCGAACTTTACTAAAATGAAACATTTCTGTTAAGATTTTCTTGTCAGTGACAGTGATGATTTTTATTTGTTTATCCTTTATTTCTGAGAGAGCACAGGCATGGTGGGATGGGCACAGAGAGGGGGACAGAGGATTTGAAGCGGGTTCCGTGCCGATAGTGGTGAGCCCATTGTGGTGCTGGAACTCACAAACCATGAGATCATGACCTGAGCCAAAGTTGGATGCTCAGTCGACTGAGCCACCCAGGCATCCTGATGGTGATGATCCTTAGATTAAAACATTCTTAGACCAAAAAAATCTAATATCTCAAATTTAGATTTTAAGTCCTCTCTGAAACCATTACCAGTAATTTTGCTTGTAAATTTTTACAAATTTCTTCTTTCACGTAGAAATTCTAGAATTCTACGATTTCTACATAGAAATTCTAGAATTCTACAATTTCTACCATAGAAATAATTGTCTCACAATCGGTTTGTTGTCTTTAAGCAAGTATTTCAGAATTGTCATTTATTAGTTTCTTACCTCTGT